ATTCTTTCGTATACATCCAAGGCTATATTGGTTGCGTAAATTTCAGTCATGATTTCAAAGGAAAATAGTGAAATTGAATAAATCAGTACGTAATTTGTATTTAACAAATCCCAGAGAAACAGAAAGCATTGTCACCCGACTGTGCCTGTCAATGGTATTGATCTTGCAATAAGAAATAATTAGAGTCTTGGTCGAGGATAATTAACATTGCACTAGTAGGCGCGTTTACCACCATATATGTACATTGTTTTTTTTTTCTGTCTTAAATATGTTGAGTGTAACGGACATTAATATACATGTACATTGATCTTTATCGTATTTGTTGAATGCGGCGTGATTGCAGTTCTACACACCTCTGATACGGTGCCTTTTGTCCGCAATTTGCTTTTTTTCTGCTTTTGCTTTTTGTACCTCTATAGATCTTTTTTTCAACACAGCTTTTTTATTCGAAGTTCGTGGCCATGGGTATACTCGAAATGTCGGTCGCATCACTAACTCTGGTATGCATACAATCACTGTAGAATAGAATAAATGTTCCCTGGATGTATAAGTGCAAATGTTTAGTGTTCTCTTTCAAGCGACTCTGATGCAAACATTCCGTAACTCTTGATTGCAATTTTTACAGCAGACATGAAATGTACAATTGATCCAGAGGAGTTCATGTGTCTATCAGCGCCTCACAGAAACTTTCATTCTTAAATACAAAACAACGCATGTAAAAACTATTACGATTATGAGATATTTGTCTAATTAGTTTTGCATAGGTTAGAATAAGAAAAAGATTTTCACGGTGTGTGCTCCGATGACAGATTCAAATGCATTCATATTAGTCGCTGCACAAGCGTTTCATGGACAAAGGCTTTCTGGAATCCAGAAATAAAGTGTGCGAAAAATGTTCACGGCAGTTCAAACCCGATTTTTTGGACATTTGAGATAGTAATCAGAAATATGGTACCCTTCAGACACGAAGCAATCAGACGTCTCCTTAAAATGTCAGGAGACATGCTAGAATAATAAGTTCTGAGAAGAATCTGATTGGTTTCAGCAGTGATGACCAAACCAATAACCAGTGCCCATTAAAAAGGCATAGGAAACCAGGAACTGATATTGAAAATGACAGTACCATGCAGAATCCCCTGTAATTAACCATGGAAACCAATTTTCTCGTTGGTCGTAAAGTGTAAATAAATAGCTGTACGGGTCAGTTATTGTTTTCCCTGCACACCTTATTGACCATATGTCAAAATATGCATTTGAAACTAATTTGAAAATGCATGTGGTGATCATCACAAATGTCAATTAAAATTCTCAGTCGGGTGTTAATTGGTGCCTATCCATTTCCAGAAATGCCAGTGTATAGCAATATAACTTTGATAGCGCTAGAGTAGTTTGTGTCAAAATTTAAGATATTCTACATCTATCTAGTATATGGTTGGTCCCAGGAAGCTAGGAGGCAATTCGAAAGTGGGGAGAGATGGAAGGGGGCAAACTATGGGTTTTTTTTTATTGTCGTTTCAGAAGCCCCCATCCCCCACGCACACTTTTTTCAGTCCACTCTTACGCCACTGATAACTTAATAAATTAAATTGAGCATTTTCAACCTAGTTAAAGATTTTATTTTATAAACAGTGGTATGCATATAGAAATAAAGGTATTAAACACATTTTCATTCAAATAATCCAAAACTGTCAAGATATCGCATAAACCGTAGCATTCTTTCTTATACAGATTATAATATCAAGTTGTCACAGTACATTAATGGTCACATTTATTGACAACACCGGACAACTTTAATGCAATATTTCAATCATAAATCGAGGATCAAAAACTTGGATTGAACATATCGATTGACAAGAAAAGGCGATGGACCCCGAACAACGCGTGAATTCACATAGATTTTTAACCTCCACTGCCCTGGACTTCATGTGAAGATTTACTGAATAAAGAGAAAGAAAACAGCATTAGCGTTGATTTACTGTACAAATATACATGATACACTATTTGTTGGTATACATGTCAACTATTCATCAATTAACAAAATGTTTTAGTTACATTTTGCCAAAATACTCAATGACTTGCTCCACGAGCAAAATCATAAATAAGAAATACTACCATTCAATTGATACGTGTCATCTGCGATATCGGCTATGGTAACCTAGAAAATCTAATGTTGATGCAAGATTATGTTTGTCTTTTGGAATTAATTTGTGTAATATGATTTTCAAATTTTTTAGGGTCCAATCTCCCAATTGCAAAGTCGACATTAAATATGGGTTTGGCTCTCTAAGTCTTGTCCCCACAATATATAAGGAGACTTATAACCTGCATGCACTTGTGATCGTTGGAGGCAAACATGACCCGTGATATTGCGAGAATGAAACCTGTTTACATGCAAAGCCTTTTGTATATTAATATACGTCTATAGCTTTCAATGTGTTCTCTAATCCTGTATTACACAGTAATATTTTCTTCATTTTTCAATGACTTATGCATATACTAATGTTAACATTATACTTGACATACACTTATTATTACATATTATACTGTTAACGCATAAACTGTTGTTTTTGCTCTATTCCTCTAACTTGGTGCCTTAGCGGAAGGTCTTCATGATTCTGTCACATGTCCTCGGTCTTCATCCAACATTTTATTTATTTCTATATACAGCAAAGGGGCCAAAAAAAGGGGGGGCGGTAAACGGCCATTATGGTAGATATATGACCGAGCGTAGCGTGGCAAAATTATTTTTGACGATTTTATTAGATTAATTGGTGTTTAACGCCACTTTCAGCAATAGTAAATTTGACATTCAAAACCAAAACAAAAATCGATTGAAAATGAAGTTGTCTGTTGTATTCTGGATCCAGTTAATTCTTTTTGGTTCCAGACGTTGGCAATGTTGTGTCAAAATTGCCTTTAACAATATAGCGTCGAGAATAAAATTGATAATTTGTTTTAAAATCTATTTTGTACATATAGACTCTTCAAGTTTCACTTTCCGGTAATGTTTAAGGGCTTCTGATTTTGATTAGAGTGATTTTTGACCCTGTGAATGAACAGATCTAGAGGGAAAATGACCCCAACTGCTTTCTTAGCTTTCCAAAAACCTTCTAAAATCAACGATTTCCCGAGGGAGTTGGAACTCTAGTTAATGTAACACTATCATATCTTAGTGTTAACAATCGTCCGTGTGTTCCTAGACAATGTTACCCTGTCATAACCAGGGGCGAATCCAGTATTTTAGGTTAGGGGGGCGCCAACTTAAATTTTTCGCCGAGCGCAGCTTAGCAAAAAATTTTTGGAGGTAAAATTATCGAAATATTCTTTAAGCTGAGGACAACCCATGCTTTGCAAATTTTAGGGGGGGTCCTGAATCCGCCCCTGATAACTTAGTGTAAACTATCTTCCATGTACATATATAATTCAAGTGTTAAAGCTTATATCGTTATGTGTTACTAGTAACTGCCTTCTATGTGAAAATGACTTAAATAAGTTGTCACTGAAAGTTAGCTGTGTTTTCTCTTTTTTACAGTGCTCTTGGTTGTCATGTTTTCTCTCTTAAATACCACTAAAGTGTTAATTCTTTTACTGTAATATCTTTGTAAGGAAATGACTTGTGGATGGTTTTTTATTTGTTTTTTTTTTTTGAAATGATGTTCTCCAAGTTCATAAGTTTTCCATTTTCCCTAAGACGTCCACAAATTTTCAGGCAAATGGTATTCAGACTTTATAATGAAATGTTGACAAAATTTAAGATGAAAGCTTTCAGGGTAGTTAACAACAAAAGTGGTATACTGTATGCATAGCTCATGGAATTGCACTCCTTACTTGCCCTTCAAGCCTAGATGTACAGCTCATTATATCCCTTGTTGGCCCTTTGAACTTTAGATCAGGACCAAACTAACAACACTTTGTCAGTACTTTCTAAGGAACATTTCTGCATGGTATGTTTTCATTGACACTGACACAAAAGTAACAACATTTGTAAAGGTTTTTCAAAGGAATGTATCTGTTAAGTTTGGTTTAGTTTATCTGTTCCTGAAAAGTTTTCTATGGTTCAACCATTTCAGATTTTTCTTACATTCAACAGTTCCTGAGTTTTCTTATGTTCAACTGTTTCTGAGATTTCTTAAGTTCAGCCAACCATAAGTAAAAATACCATTGTGGCCATGTTCATTAACAGGTCACTGTAACAACAGTTGGAAAGGATTTTGTTAGAGACATCACTGTAAAAGGTGTTTAATTATGTTCTTAAGTTCTCAAGAGGAATATAAAAATGTAAAAAGTCATCAGACAGATGATGGACAATTAGTGATGACAAAAACTCACATGTATTTCTGCCATGTGAACTTAAAAGGATTATGTGGACATAATAGAAAACAATATCTCCCCTTTCTATAAGGGGTGGTGTTAGTGATGTGTGGGCCACTGTGGGGAAACATATATTTTTGTATAAGAGTGACTTTTGTACAAACAAAAACCATGATAATATACTCATAAAACCATAGCAACTGCAGAAAAGAACCCATTATCCTTCAATCACATCTAAATATCATGATACACTACTACTGTGCACTATGTTATTGAATTCCATTAAAACTCCAGATTTATCCATCAAAGAGGAATTGTACTTTTGAAATATATCCCAAGTCAGCAGTAAAAAATGATGATGGATTGTTGGTTGCTTAATGTTCAGTGGCAAATATCCTTTGAAACAAACAAGAAATCATATTTTTCGTCACTTCAATTTAAAGATTCAAGTCATGTAGGTGTGGTGCAGACAAAGACAAAATTATTCTACCAGTTTGCAGGGGATATACTGTAACCCATAACATTCATCTTTAGGATACCATATGACTAGGTTTTCAAGACCTACATCCTCATAGTAAAACTATTCATTCCTTCAATCATCTTCAAAATATGGTGTCGAGAAAACAATGAAAGAATGTATATGACCATTCAAATTTGCTGTCATGAAATTATGAAGAAAAGAAATCATATCAGTTTTTCAAATCTTTTTTATTTCTGTTATTATGCATTTTGATTCTTTTTTGATAAAAAAAAATATACAAACATAACTGAACATATGCATAATTTGTGTCAAAATACAAAACAATTCTTAAAATTTACAAAGTACAAAAATATCAACAAATATTTCAACTCAATAGATGTACTTTAACATCTATCTGCACTCTGATTGCGAAATAAAGGCAGGAAAAATTCATATATACCTAAAAACCATTTTGTTATCAAACACTGTTCAAAAATAACAAATAATTTTGACTCACAACTTTCTGATTGAAATTTAATAGCTGTATGCTGAGAAATATCTGTCAAAATATTTAGAAAAGTTAACCTCAAAGTTGATACAAACTTTTTCATAAACATTATGCAAGAGTATAAACCCCCAAAGCTTCCTCCAACATCTTCTTTCTAAACTCTAGATGAAAGGAAATATTATGAATCTGTTATAACCTACTGCGAAACAGAGATTTTTATTCAATTAGCTGCCTATTTTCTAGATATAACTAGTTTATATAAACATGGGATTTATAGAATTAACTTTTAATACTCATAAGGGATTATTATCTCCTAAAATAAATGAATAAATGTGAATTTCTCAAACCAATACATGCAGTGCATGAGTACAATGTAGACTTACATTCCATAAGATCAAAATATTTTAACATATTCAATCGTAGTGACAAAGTAGCAAAATGAACTGACTTAATTTCTATAAATTTCCAAAAGTCATTATTTCTCTAATTTTATTTACTGGAAGTATTTTCTGAACAAAATTTACTAGCATAAACAATCAAGATCATCATTGCAGATTTCCAAAATTTTTCATTATTCTTTTGTTGGGTTGTTGCCATGTCTATTTTAATGTTAGATCATGCCAGTTCTATTCAAAATCGTTTTAAATTAAAATAAATGTCATAGTTATCTGGTTTTAATCTTTAATATGACTTTCATTATTGCACAACTTCACTATTAATACAGATGCAAGATAAAACCTTTAACAAAACATTGCAAAAACTATTTATTATTGAGAGAAACAAATATTTTGAAGAGGAATTTACAGTTAATTTAAGCCCAATATATTTAATTTGATAAGTCTATTGGTTTAAAATTACCCTATTAATACCATGCAGATTTGAGCAAGTTTACATCTTAAAGAAAAACACATTGCCATTTACTCTTCATGTACATTTTTGATATGCTGAAACTGCATTATTGGAATCAAAGACCTAAAGCACAGTTAGACAAGAACAAGAGTGTCCATGTGCCATAACTACATTCCATCATACACATAGAAAATCATTATACTCTGATACCTCTAATAAAAGTTTTGAGAGACAAAACTTTCATGTATCTTCTACTTCCAAATAAATAAATCAAATCTCTAACATAATGTTAAACAAAAGTCTTGCATATTCTCATCATTCAAACATCATTTAAACCAAATTCAAGTCAGTTCTCCATAATTATTGGTTCTGTGTATAAAACAGCTGTTTGGGACAGTCAACACTACACACTAATATGTGTACAGCTCCTGTTTGGGACAGTCACACTACACACTAATGTGTGTACATCTCCTCATACAGGTCATACCACAAAGAACACATGTTCCATTTCTGAAAAAGAAAATGCACAAGATGTTTCATTTTTAGGAGAAAACTGAATATTTATATATTTTTGGGTCTTTCAATTTCATAGCAGTAGAGTTTGAAGTTTTCAGTGTTTGTATAGGCTGTACACAAATTAAACTGAAGTAATAATAGCAGGCTTTAAATATTAAAAAAACATATATTTTTTGTCCCTTCAATTTCTAGTTTATTCCTTACTTTTGTCAACTGGCAAAAGGATTTGCGGTTGCAGATTAAGAGAACTATGTGTACATTCCTTTGAGAACATAAAAAATATATGATTATTTCCCCTTGTCAAGGTAAGTTTGATATGACTATTTTATGCAAGCAGCCCCCTGTCCCTTAAAGAAAGTAATGTTCCAAAATTATAGGTAGGATATACAGAATATTGTCTACATCTGATATAATCTGATAATAAAGTGATATGTTGCTTTTGTGTCAAATTCAAATGATTTCTTGCCAGTAATTCTTGATTTCAAAAGCATAAACCTGTGATATATATAATATATGATATGTATTTCTAAGATTTATTTTACATTCCTAATCAGCACAAATAAAATACAATTTTTTTATGAATGATATCAACTTGACTTATTATTTACCTGATCAGAAGGTGTCTATTGAAAATGTTATATAATCCTGCCTTCAGTTGGTCTATTATCAGCTCTTCTTTACAGATTGAGGTACTAAGATTTTCTTCAATTAATTCCAAGAGTTTATCCACCTTCCAACTTGATAACATCATTTTTTTATTTGATTGCTATAATCAATGTTTCATACTTGTATACAGAGTTCACACAATGGAAGATTTTTGGATTTTCAGATTTTACTCCTCTAGAGAAGATGCAGAATGTATGCTTTATCACAATTCCATATCAAAATGTTTTGAAGAAATGGCAATATTTTGTAGAATCTAAACAGCACTTAAAACATACAACATTCAAAATTTTATAAATATTGTTTTGAACACATTTTAAAGTTTATCACAGACAACAATATGGCGGTCAAGTCATGACTGGTATCTGATTGGTCAGACAACACAGTCAATCACTGGTCCATTTTCTTGCTGGTCGAAATGAAAAATATTTCTCGGATTGTCTGTATGAAACTTTAATGGTCTAGAACCATGCTGTTCATTCATTTTTGAAGGACTATACAGCAGTGGTTGGGAATGTGAGATTTTTCTCGGTGAGAACACTGTGTCTGAGTTTCCAGAATGCTTTCCCTGTCTTGCTTTATGTTGGGTTCTGTTACCTGAAGAGATAAAATAAAGCATATAATAGTATTTTTCATTTCAGTCATGTTCATGTTCACATCAACAAAAAAAGTGCAACACATGATTTTTAACAGCAAGTTTAAAAAGCAACAATTTGACGTTTAAAAGTAAGTTTCTATCAACAGTATCTCGTAAGTGTTAGGCGTCATATGAGCGAACGACAGATATCTGTTGTATTATGAATTGCCTGTTATTTCAACCAATAGTTCTTATTCTCTCTTTTAATTCACTTAAATATCTCAATAAATTACACTTTTTCAAGAACTTAAAGCTCCCATCTCCTAGACCATAAGTGTATAAACCTATGCCTCGACTTTTTTGTAAATTTTTAAATATTTGTTTAAAGCTTGTAGTTATTTTATTATTACTTTTTGTTCATGTATAACTGTCATCTCTAACACAAGGAAAACATTCAAAATTTTAAAAGAAAATTTGTTGAATTAATTTCCTTGAAATATGTACACAATGTTTTTGATTAAAAAACTACCAATAACTATTAACTTGATATTGGTACATGTATTGATATTACAAATCAATTTTTAAAGCATTTTACACAAATCACAGCTTTCAATTAAGTATCAACATGATCAAAACAATTATAGAAATTTATATGCCAATAAATCTAAATTCACCACCTCAAACATTTATTTACACTTGTTTTGAACAGGTGCTCCCAATTACAGATTACAGAATTTGGACACTATGGCCAGATGGACATGATACTTTGTATCAATAAAAATTCTCTAATTGAATTGCTTGAATATTTTTCCTGATGTCAAAACATTTCCTCTTGTTTATTTTTTATATTCCTGATAAAACATTCAGCTGCAGGTCAATTATAATTTTGTATTCGCTGTCTCTGATTACCTACTGTCAGAATTTTTTTTTCCAAATCTACTGATTTACTTAATTATTTTCAATGAGAAGGCAGGTGTGTTTTCATGCGTTTCTAGGCATAATATCATTTATGGATTAAATCATAAATACATCTACAGCTTTCACTTTTCTTCAATGAGAATTTTTATGATTATCAAATTTTTTATTTTTTTGTCCAGCAGAAAATATTTTGTCAGTTAAAAAAAAGTTTTAATGGTCTTTTTTAGTGGCGGATTCAGGGGTAGGGTGTGAAAACATACCCCTTTAATTGGAAAATATATCTCTTTTTTAGCATGAAATTGGCACCCCCCCCCCCCCCCCCCCTTAAAAAAAAATCCTAGTACCGCATCTGTTTATTTAGTTTGAGGGAGGTCATAAGATATTGACAACATTCTGTACAGTAAAATCAATTTTGTTTTGTCCAGCAATGAGATATGAGATTTATATATTGTGAAGTAGAAACACAAAAAGCTACAGAATTGTTTATATTGAGGAATCTCATTTCTATTGACTTAATTGATTTATATTATAGAAATAACTACATGGAACAGCTAATTCAAGAAATCTGGGAGATCATTTTCAAAGAATCTTTAATGAAGAGGAATCTGGGCATACTAAACCTTTAGTGTGTTTATTTTCTTCATTCTATAATCAGATGATAAAGGTTCTTCACCACTGAGGTTTGGATTGATAATTCTGTTTTCTTAACACTTTAATTTGGGGAAAACTGGTCATTCCTGGGTCTCTAACTTTTATGTTTATAATTTTTATATCTTGTCTATTTGTATTGAAAACATTATGTAAAACAAAGATGTTTAGCCATTGATTTCAGTTGGATGAACTTGGTTCTTATCATGACTTTGTACTTCTGAGCTATATAATAATGTTCAAATATCTATATCTGTGGAATGTGAGAATGAAAAACAAAGTTTTAACACTTTTACAAATTTTTATAGCATCAAACAAGTTTTGGTTAAAATAACTCAAGTCCCAAAATTTCAAGTTGCATACACACTGACTGTCCCCCTTCTACCTTCCCCTCCTAAATTTTGTTAATTTCAAAATATTTGTAATTAGTACACATCCGTCCAAATTCTTTTAGTCTTTCCCCTTTTTAACTTTTTTACCTGTTGAATGCGGTGATCGACTGGTCTCGTCATCACTGTTGCCACGCCCACTATCACTGGTTGATCCTATACTGTGACTATCATCTCCTTGTCTTTTATCTTTATCCTGAAATATAAAAGAAGGCTGGTCAGGATCTTGCTATATTGATTGTAAAGCTCACTGAAACCATTGTGCATTGTTTAATCTTTTATCCAGGAATCGGTGAACAGTATTTGTCCAGTGGCAAATATTTCATGCATAAGGGATGTATTTAAGGATGTTTTTCTTCTATATTAAATAAAATTTCCCGATTCTCTGTACATGTAGTCGAAAACAATCCGTCAAGCTTTTAGTCACAACAGTTGTATTATATTTTAATAAAAAAAAAATAGAAAAAATACATAAACTGACAACATATGTCAAGGTCCATAACTCTTGCCCTAAGGTCTTATAAAATTACAGGAAATAAGTAGAGACTATGTAACGCACATTGTGATAAAGATTTTATCAATATTTCCTTAACCTAAGGTCCAAAATGAGTTATATACAATGATAGGATGTAGATATGGTTAGCTGTGGGTAGACATACGCATAGGTCAGAGTTCAAGGACAATTTGCTTCTTTTAAAAATATAATATGGCTTTTTTATTGAGAAAACTTAAAATTTTGAATAAAAATTCTGTTTAATACAGTATTTCTCAAATCAGTGTCAGTTAGCAAAGATTTTATCAAAATGCAACAAGTCTTTTAATTTCACTGTTCATTGGATAAATACTGTTGAATTTTCATTCTGTTTTAAATGGATTACTGACAAAGTTTATTATATTTTTTCTTTTAAAGTTTGTTTTTCAACCAAAACCATTTTTTGGTCATTTCTTTTCAAGTGGGTTGGACCTCTGACCCCAACTGGTCACAGCGCTAAGGTCAGAACGAGTACAACTTCAAACATTAAGAAGCTAATTATGTACCATGTATATATAATAAACAGTGTGACTTTTTAATTAAAAAGTCAGGTACTTTTCATTATAATGTAGAAAAACCATTGTACACATGGATGAGTTATCAATAACAATGCAAGCGAGTTTTTTTTTATCTTCATGATAAAAAAGCTTTACAAACTATATTGAATAAGTTATGAAAATTTAGTGGCTTTTTATTATCATAAAGAAAAGCATTATATTTTAGATAAGTTATCCTGCTGTTTTGTATTAGAGAGGCTTATTGTTTGCACTTTTTTCAATGGGTGTTATCGTGAAAGAGAAAATCAATTTCCATGGTTAAAGTTTGTCATTTTTAAATCATCTCTGATCATTATCGCCATATTAAATATGAAATCTTTGTCAAAGTGCTGACACTTTTTATAAAAGGTGAATTAAGTAGTTGAAGTTCCGCACATTATAGGCTTAGCTCACAAAATAAAACTTCACAATGTTTGCATTATTCTCAGTTTATTTATCAATTTTGTAAATTACGGGGTGGAAACCCTAGATAACAAGTGTGGTTTTCTGTTAAATATTTTGAAAAAATATTTTCTGACTTTCTATGACACCTATGATGAATCAATTAAGCCAATTTTTGTCCATAAAACCAACCTTTGTCCCGTCATTGATTGGGTGAGAAATGAGCTATTAAAATTTTATAATTTTGTGAATTAAGAAAGGACAAATTGTATAAATCTTGGGACTGAACAGGCAGATCAATACACAGTGAAAGATTGTAAAATTGACTAATTAATACATTAAATGGGTAGACATGTTATAAATATTTAATTAACTTCCCTTAACATTATATTTCATAATTTTGAACCATAGAGTGTTATCAATCAATTGAAAAAAGAGAAGAAAAAACCCATGATGTACTATTATATCCCTAACAAAAGTTAAACAAGTTTTACACATTTGTTTTATCTGTGCCTTAAAATGGTGTTTATAAAACCTGAAAGATTTAATACATGTACATGTAGTCTCTATACTTTCTCTAATCACTGAACTGTATTTTACATGGAAGTATGTATTAAGTGGAAACTAAATTTCTGCCAGTTTCTTTCTGGTAGTCAAGTGAAACCAGTCAAACATTCATTAGTCTGTATACTGGTACATATTACTATCTTTAGTTACCTTAGTTTCCACAAGATATACACCCCTGCTTTCCTAACATCTTCTTTTTTTAAAAGTCTATTTTTTATCTTTAAAACATACCATTCTAATAATTCAAACATAACAACCCCCAATGATTTCTATGCAAAACTATAAAATTTACTGTAATTCTCACATTTCACAAATTTTTTCAATTTTCATCCTAATGAAAAGCTATGCAACCTAATACAAAGAACAAGTTGTCTCAAATTAACATTTTTTAACATTTTTATTGTTATTTTCAGAACACACAAGAATTCCTTTCATGAATCACTTACTAACAACACCTCTGCTATTAACTATTATATTAAACCTAACTTCTAAATAATTAACATCATACAGGGTCTGAAAAATCAACCTTTACAAAATTAACATGCCATGTTGACTGAATTTTTTCAATTATAACACAAAGCAAAACATGAATCGGCATTAATGTTCTAAATACACTTGCTTAAAAGTAATTACGTTTTTACATTGATCATTTCTAAAACTAAAGATGAACTGAGGTGTTGTGAATTAGATTTATACAATTCTCATGTTGGTGTCAATTAACAAAAATAAAACATGCTGTGTTTTTTCATTAGATATTAGAAGATTAGATATAACTGCACTCAGCAATGCAAAAAGAAGTTCCTTGTGCAAAAAAGTGTAAGTTTAACACTTATGATTTTTAAGTAGACAAAAACATTAAAACTCACATTTTATTGATAACTAAACATGAAATATCGCATCAGTATGTCAGTACTTTATCTATTTCTAACCTGATTACATCAAATCTGAAAGCTTCTCCCCGTTTATTATCTGCCACCCACTGGGTTTGACAAATTTTGACAATCTTACATTCTAAAATTTAAAAATGTTCACTGAACAGCTTCCATTGCCAATCATTGAAATCATTCCTTAAGTTTCGATAAAATTTAGTAGAAAATTCAATTAAACATAAATGGTTTTCTTGTGTTCAATTCAAAACTATAGTCATTGAACACTTGATTGACTTGATTTAGGTGTGAATTCAAAATCCTTTTTTCACAAGTAAACACCATCACAGAACCTGACAAGCTTGAAATATTTCCAAACAAACTTGTAACAATTATATGTTCAAACGCATGGATGATCTGGCTTTTGTGGGTTTATCTGCATCTTTGGGCTTGATTAATTTTAAATTCAGATCTTTAATTGGTGATGAAAATCTTGGGATGACATCTTTCATGCCTGGCAGGTTCTTGTCAGTATGTTTTTTGGTTTGTAATTTTCATACTATAATTTTAAGTCCTGTATAATTTTAGATATGACTGTATTACTAAATCAGCAAAGTCATTTAAGTTTAAAGTTTTCAGCTAATTTCTATAATTTACTATTGAAAAATAGTTTAACCTCATGTTAATCAGGAAATTATTAATCGTACAAAATTTCGTGCATAAACATCTTTTAACTTTTTTCTAATAATATTAAATGATGCCAATTCCACTGCACCAGATGCACATTTCAACAATATATTTTAAAAGTGTTCTTGCTATTTTAAGCATGTTTAAACTTAATTTAACAAACAATCTGCTGACATGTGAAATATATAGCAGTAAAGCTAAAAATATAAAATTTAAAGTTACCAACTGAAAAAAATTAACAGAATTTCTAACTTAGTTCTTTCATACAAAATATAGAGTATAAGAAAACTTTAAATTTATCGTTAGTGAAAGCTATTTCCTATAAATAAATTGACCAATGATAATGATGCTGCAGTTTGAAGCATCAAATTTGTCATCTCCCTTAAATTAAGTGTAGTTTTTTGTGTATTTAACCTTCTGACAGAGGTAAAAACAGGTAAAACAACATCATCAATAATATTTATGTTACGATTTATGAGTTTTAAGGTGAGAATGGTATTCCCTGACATTCCAAACGATAATTTCAGAGCTAATTTACCATTCCCTGAACATGATTGATGGTAACCCCTTAATTACTGTTAAACTTGATAAACTACGGAATTATCTCCCTGCTTCATTACTTTACCAGATTAAAATGGAGAAGCAACTGTCAAAATTTAAAATCAAAAGCCCCTCCAAGATGTAGACAGTTTTAAGTGTGAGTACTTCAATTTTATGATCTTCTGTTTTCAAGCGGTTCCACAAATTAGTCTTTCAATCATAGACTACAATGTATTTGTATGGCTGACCGGGTACAAGGGTTAAGGCCAGATGTAGTAAAACATGCACACTTTATGGTTAGCGTTTCTTATCACTGCAGACTAACCAACATTGCAGACAATGATTGCCTGAAGTTTAAACCAATTGAAAAATTTTGAAATATCAGGCCACTTTCATATCTTCTAATTAACCTTAGATGGGTTTGGCAGTTCTTTAAAGGTGCTCTCGGTTTTCATGCTCTCAATCATTTTTTTTTTTTTACTCTCCAAAACTTCAGTCTCTGGCCTATCTGATAAATGTTTTTTTAAGAACAATGTTGAGAGCTTGGAAAGTCATATCAGTATCAAAATCAAACATGAAATTAGAAATGGAAATCATTTTTCTTCTCTTACACATTAAAAACATATTTTCCATCATCAAGAGAATTACAACTGAGAGCCAAACTATGCTAATTACAACAAGTAACATTTTTAGATAGAAACAAATGCACTATTAATTGCATGTTTCATTTCAAATCTGCCTGTCTTGACATTGAAAATGTTATGGTTGGTTTGTCTGGAGCAATACAACTGAAGTGAACCGCCTAATCAAGTACACCTTTCAGGACATCCTATCTCTCTAATAGTTTATCTTTAGACCTGATGTCTGGATTGATAATTATCATAATCAGAAAAGTATCTTCATTTTTTAACTCTTGTGTCAGAATGTCATTCACAAAGGTGAGGCATCTTTGAGTTTTTTGCTATTACACATTAAAGGTGTACTCATTAGCAATCTACAAGTCTGTACAAAAAAGAGTGATTCAAAATTTGTTCTTCTTGTATAAGGGTCATGTCTATAGGAGATGTGCAATTCTAGGGCTTGACATGCTGTAAATAAGTTAATGGATTGTTGACCCATTGGTCTTTGCTAATTTATATCCTCTATTTTGTAAGCCCATACAAATAATGCTAAGGTATTTGTCTTTTGTTGAATATATGTTGCATATGGACCTCTAGATATTTCTTGGTCTTTTGTGTTGTAAGGTTGCTGTCTCATTGATGAATACAATATCTCAATATCTTATTTTATTGATAGCATTGTTACATGTCTTGATGTCTGTCCCTTGAAGTTATTTTTTAATAAATCACCTTTTTGATCAAGAGGGATTTATATATCTATAACTGTATTGTACAAAAATGTGCAAAGTAAAATCTATTTTCGCATGTGTTTCTAAAAATATACATTTCAGTTCATTAAATCAATTATTTATTATCTAAAAATACTGATTGGAGTTAACAGAAGTTCACAAACTATTTGCTCCTGTGATAAAAACCTAGTTTTAGAGCACCTTAGACTCATAAAATCCATGATTTTTGTTGTAATCTTGTTTACAAAATATTCATTTTCCTACAGATCTGTCAGATTTACTGATGTCAGTAGCAGTCAAGAGCTTATCAATGAGATAGCCACCAATGTGAATGGGCCTAATAGGCAAAGTTCTTTTTTTATAATATCTTATCTTGGTATCTTGTAAAACAAGTTACTGCTCTTCAGATTCAGGTGAGGATAAACTTTAAGCTACAAGAATGCAGTCAACCAGTTGTCTGCCTGAAATGAAGTCAGACTCCGGTCTATGGACCCAGCACTCATTTTCACTTTTGCCACATTTTTTTCTGCAGCATTAACTGCTTGAGGAATGTACATAAAACTTATTCTGACATTAGGGTATTAAAAAATAAAGTTCAAAATAAAAGATATTTTAATGAGCCTGGAAAATGACAGGGTTAACACTTAATAATTTAGATTTGACCAGATTTCATTTATGTGTACACTGTTTATGTTGACAATATAATTATCACCTCTCCCCAGTTTACAAATTCAATACCAGTGGAGGGATGTTTGGGTAGTACTTAAAAACATGGGATTTTTTTCACCTGTCCAGTTTAGTAAATCAAATATAATCCTGTCCAAATAAGTCATTGAGAAACAATTTGACCATCAATGAATTGAGAGTATTAATCTAACTTACGGTTTAAGGTCTCGTTTACTCATGAAAGAAAAACACAGGTCTTGAAATGCTTCAAAAAGAGTTCAAGCACAATTGTTCAAACTTACTGAAAACAAGAAGATTCCCAACCTTTTACAATGTATTCTAACTGAAAAAAATCTTATTTGTCTTTCAACCTCACAAGCAATTCAAGCATTCTCCATACCAAACTGCTATATCTTTTATTTTTTTAAATGAGCTTTAGGAAAGTGATTTGTTTCGTAATAAAAAATAAAATAGTATTTTGCTTTTTTAAATTTTAGTTAATACAAACCTTTTGTTATATGAAGGAGATTTCATAGAAATTAAATACATGATTTGACTTTTATATGCCTCCTCGTTATCATTAATGAAAATAATTGGTGAAAGACAAAATGTAATTATCCTATCGTAATCGGCTAACGTTATCATGGTGCACTGACCTATACTTGGAGTTATCTGCTACTTTAACTTGTTTTTTCCTCAAATGAAAGATAAGCGATAAATTTTTAAAGACTTTCAGAAGCCAGTGGTTAATTAGGCACTATGTTGAAACTGACAACCAACATGCAGCTTCTTATGTTTTACAAAGAGTCCTTAATTGTTGTTTTATTAGCGGTAAAGAAAAGTTATCAGTATTTTAAATGTTTTTGGTGTTTGTGTAACAGGCTACTTAGCTTGTTAATAAACTTAAAGTGATATATTTGTACAACAATTAATTGAATTTATTCACTCGTGTTAATTTGGCACACTATTCCAAAGTAAAATTGGCGAAAAACAAAACAATTTGAAAATCCAAACTTTTTAAAACTTCACAATTTTTATAAACAGATATTGATCTAGTGTTCAATCTTTATATTCTGAAGAGGATTTTTATTGCAATGTTTTTACAGATAAACCATAACCCTTTCCATACTATAATAGCTGTTTAATGGTGTTTCATAGATTTATATCAAACCCCCTATAACATATATTTATTATAGAAATATATCAAATATAATTTATTTTTAACTCCTACTATCTGTTTTAATGTATAAACAATTTGGAATGGCAAAAAAACTGATTTTCAAAACCATTTATTTACCTCATCTCCAGGGAATGAAAACACCTGGCAAAAAAATCTCAATACTTCTGTCAGGTAGAAGGTATTTTCATTTCTGAGATTTACCTTGGGCATACATTTGCTCATGGAATTCAGATTAGAAGGAATGTATTCTAGTTAAAAAGTTCATTCAAATAAATGAAATAAATTTATAGAAACTTCAGCATTCTCCAAAAGAGATTATTTTAACATAAATCTTAAATGACAAAGAAATGGAAAACTGTTGCTATTAATGAAGAGGAAACACGTCCTTATAAAATAAACAGATTTAGAAAAGATTTAAAGAGTAAACAAATTTGTTGGTTTTGAAATATCGCTCCCCCTTAATTTTTATTTGTATTGTGGTGGTTTCTATGTTTCTTTAATCTAAAAGACTACTACAACCACTGATACCATAGTGGCATGAAGCAAATGGCTATAGACACAAGAAACAAGTCATCTTAACTGAAACTATAATATGAAGACTTACCACAAACATTTTATCAAATGGATGGTCTGTCTTTGTAGGAAGCTGTAAAGAACCAATGTGATCCTGGTCATCATCAATGGAGAAACTGACTTCCTTCTTTTTCTTCTTGTCGCTACAGAGAATTGAATCGTCTGGAAGTGAGAAAACTGTCACACTTGGGTCTATCACAGTACCACCAGAATAATAATCTGGCTTTGTTTTTGATGCTTTGGCATTTCTATCAACTCTCCTTAAGAAAATAATAACGGCAATGATAATGGTCGATGCTACAATTGTCAATGATACAAGAACAATCACAATAACCATGTTTGTAGTGTTCGATGCAGCAGTTTGTTCTCCTGTTCCTACCACAACAGTCAATGTCAAAAAACTTTTCTGGGGATAAACACCCTCGTCAGATACCTCTATTTCTAAACTGAATGATGTCCCTGGCTTCACGTCAATGTCTTTTTCTAAAAATATAGCCCCACTTTTAGGATCTATGGAGAAATATGTAGCAGTATTTAAAATGGAAAATACCAAATCACTATTTTTATCCTTGTCTTTATCGTATGCTACAACGGTGGTAATGATACGACCAGCTTTAGATGACTGACTGATAGAGAAAGTGTTGTTGGCATAGTTTGGTCCTTTGATTTCTGGACGGTGGTCATTCATGTCCTTCACTGTGACTACAACACTTGCGGTACTAGTTCTTGGTGGATACCCTAAATCATAGGCTATGACGTAAAATCCATATGATGGCTGAGTTTCTCTATCAAGAACCTTATTTGTTGTTATCTGACCATGTGGTAGTACTAGAAACGGCAAGTCAATGGGTGTACCTGTTGGTAGATTGAACACTATTTCTGCATTGTCACCTCCATCCAAATCTTGTGCAAAAAGCTGTCCTATTTCAATTCCTGACTCTTTATTCTCAAAAACTTCCATTTGAAATACTTCTTTTTTGAACTTTGGTGAATTGTCATTCAGATCTAAAATCTTAACTACAATGTCTGCAGTGCCAGTCAGTGAAGGTGTTCCCTGATCAATAGCAAAGATCTTGGTTGTTATCGTGGGTGTCTGTTCTCTATCCAACTCAATAGCAGCTCTTACTACTCCTGTCACAGAATCTACAGAGAATATTAGACTTCCCTCATTGTCAAGGAAATAGTAAATTTCTGCATTTTTACCTTGGTCATTGTCTATAGCAAACACCTGTACAATCACGTCTCCCTTCTTGTTCCCTTCAAATATTGTCTCGGTATATTGAATAGATGAAAATTTTGGCGGACTATCATTTTCATCATCAATTTCAATGTTAAACTCAGAGGATACATTAAAAGGTGGCTTTCCGTTATCTTGACATGAAATAGTCACCTGGTGGTTTGGTATAGTCTCACGGTCAAGCTTTTGCTTCACTACAACATTATATTCCTTATTTCCAAGTAACATCAATTCGAAATAGTCAGACGTCATCGTACAATAGACATTACCATTATCCCCAGTGTCATCGTCGTTGACGGCAATGTGAGCAACAGCAGTTCCTTTATTTGCGTATTCTGTGATGTGAGCTACATTAGAGCCAGATAAAAGGTTTACAACAATAACTGGTGCACTATTTCCAACATCTTCAACAACTACTATAACACGAGTTTGTGATGTCAGTGGCTGATCAGCAGTGTCACTAGCTTCTATTATTATTTGATATTTTTTTCCTGGTGCATATGAAAGTTTTTTAGATACCCTTAACTCCCCGGTTAAATGATCTATTGAAAACAGGTTAAGAATTGTGTCAGACTGATGAGATGAAAGCCTGTAAGTCACCTTACCATTATCACCTTCATCGAGATCTACTGCTTTAATGGTGCCAATAACAGAGCTAATGTTTATATCCTCCTTCACGGTGATGTTATATTGAGTTTTCTCAAAGTTTGGTGGGTTGTCATTGACATCAGTAATGATGATGTTAGCGAAAAGGGTACCAGATTGTGGAGGTGAACCACCATCTTTGGCAACAATTTCAAGTTGATAAGATCTCTGTGTCTCACGGTCTAAAGCTTTTTCAACTTTCAATCGGACAATTGAAGTTCCATCCAATTTTTTCTCAAATTCTATCGAAAATGGTGTGTTAGCAGGATAAACCTCATAGGTTTGGAGGGAATAAGCATCACTAGTGTCTCTGTCTCTAGCACCATCTATTGTAACCTTAGTGCCAACTAAGGATGCTTCTGATAAAGACAAAGTTATGTTTGGTTTATCGAAAACAGGAGCATTGTCATTCAAGTCATTTACGTATATAGTTACTGGAATTTTTAAGAAGAAACTGGTCCTCGTAGACTGAACAGCTATATCTAAGCTCAGTGAACAAATTTTAGTAAACTCACAAACTGATTCCCTGTCTACTATGCCTTTTGTTTCCAATCTGCTTGTTCTTTCATCTATCTTAAATAGGGATAGAATCTGGCTATCTGTTCCAAGAAAAGTATACTTAAGATTTCCAAAGTCATCCTTACCAGCTAAATCCTTTAAGTTAGTACTATTAGATATAGTTCCTACATATGTTGCAGGGATATCTGTTTCATCAATATTGTAAACCACGGAATTTCCCTCAATTATGGAATAAAAGTTCAAAAGAAGGAAACACTGAAAAACATAAATTGCTGCCATTTTCAGTATTTAACTATCAGCATGTCATGGAAATGTTAGTAATAAGAAGTATGTCTGATTTATGTACTTTTTATATGGTCCTGTTTTCAAATTTTAATTAATATGTAGTCCTTTTAATAATGATGACACTGTTTCAAATGGGAATAATTCGTTCATTAAAAATCCAATATCTCAATAAGTACTGTTTAACAAGTTCTTCACAAGTCCACAAAAATTCACAACATCAGAGACAGGGACAGTCAACTAATCCTTTCTGTTGAAGCAGGAATCACGGCTCATCAGACCACCACTTCTAACAAATCTGTAAATGCAATATTGGAATAAATATTTACATTTGGTTTTATACACAAAAGCACAACAATGGAACTTTGAGCTAATTGTTTACAATTATAATAAGTAAACATAACCATTGCTCTATAGACATGAAAAAGTTAAATCCGTTTTCTTTTGAGAAAATTTGTTGAATGTTTGTAAAACTAATACAGAAAATTCCTCGATTGTTGAAAAGTACAATTTATACATCCCCCTATTGAAACCAACTATACCTGCCTACAAATCGTGAAATCAATCAACAAGTTTACAAAGTGACTGAGAAATGTTTTCAAACTTGTAATTAACTCAGCTGGCTTCTGTGTGATCTACTGTCAATAACAGCACTTAGCTCCTCCTTCTAACAAACCTCTAATCCAATGAAAGGTTTAGGAAACGTACAATTTTTATTTCTTTCTGATTGACAATTTATTACTATTATTACCATGCAAGGTGCCCCACATGCTTTTAATCATGAAGTATGAAATATTGATGAAGGCCATAATTGTTTTATTTAAATATAAGGTGGCTACTGTGTAAGTTTATAGATTTTAATTGAAATTTGAGTATCTGTTTCTATAATTATCACCATCAATATTTTTTTTGAAATGCAACTTGAGATAACCACACCTTCAACCAACTAACTTAAGTCAAAATTAATTTTAAAGCACAACATTAGAAATACTGTTTCCAATGTTAGTATTTTATCAATTAAATCATAATTTATATCTATTTGTAAACAATGATGAGAGTGTTTACCTTTATAAGTCAAAATTAATACTTTTTGTCTTTAACATCAAATTCTCTGATCATCCATTTCCTATCACCTTTAAGTTTTGACATTTTTCAGCAGAAAGTTCAATTATTGGTCTAATCAAAATTAGTGCAATCGAATTCATCAAGAAACTGACATCTTATTTAGAGATTGATTATCTATTATTGTATTATGCAACATACAAAATATACATTGATCGAGAATTAGGCATTTTAAAAACATTGTCACATTTCATCCATCAATCAAAATCTGGCACAGATAATTCATTTATTGATATTAACTCAGGTTTATGATAAAAAAAATATAAAAATATTAATAATATTCAGCTTAAATATCCTGAATACATGGACTGAATAAATTATTTACTTACAAGAAAAAAAATCCAATATAAAGTGTATGTCCTTCATTAGGAATTCAAAAACACATAAATAACCAGTATTTTTCCATAAAATGTCAATTTATATATATATTTCTTTACTAATTTGTAGGACAATACATACATCACCTTTTTTAGTATGTAAAAAAACTAATTTTCTCAGGTATTTAACCCAAAATAAAATAAACTGCTTGGGAAGAAGGGGAGAAGACAAATTTATATAATACATGTAAGGATGAAGAACAGCAATAAAAGTACAGTTCATTTGGTTTTGTTTCTTATGTGTGCAGGGATTTGCATCATGGATTTATACCACATGTTCCTTCTTTTCGATTTTTTATTGTATACACCAGCACAGCAAACTAAACATATAATATCAATGGGCCAGCAACCCATCAACACTAATGAAATCTGGAGACTGCATGTGATGTAAATATGAAAGGTGTTTTTTTTTTATTGCATCAAATTAAACAATAATTTGGCAATGCATGGTCTTTATAAGCAATACAAACGAAAAACTCAAATGTCAGCAGAAAAATCCCCAAACTTACTACCCCGAAATTGAAGTGAACGGTTATACGCCAACATCAAACTCACTACCTAGTGTTTTGAAGTTGTCATATCAAATTTATCCAGTCTTTCAAACTTCAAATATAAGTTTATTTTTTTTCAAGGAAAGTAAATGTCATCTTAACCAAATACAGTGCAAGTTTCTCACCTTCATTTTAGATTAATGGTTTAGTAACCAGGTGTGCTTGTTTCAGAGGATTACTGACATCTTTTAAACAACCTCAGTATAATCCTCATCCCTATCAACAGATAACTATTAATAAGCTCAATGTTACTGTTGCTAAAATAATTCTAACAAATATTTCCTTGTACTTTACAGATTCATCTATAAGGCAACTGACCTAACATAGAAAAGTGAAATTATACACTGGCTTCATTATTGGATACTTTTTTACCACTCTATGGTGGATATATAAGAAATTTTCAAACTACAATCTGGGATTATTTTAAACTTGCACTTGAATGCTTATACAACCTTTAAACTTTTTTCATCTCTATAGATTTTTTGGGGGAAATGTTATCAATATGTCAGTCAGTCTTCCCTTCCAACAACATGCCCTTGCCTTGGCCTTTTTTTCAACTTCATGTTAAAAAAGTTCAATCTGCTCATAAACTGATAATGCATTGTACATAAAAAGGATTGCAGGAATTATCAAAAATAACAGTACATTAACAAACACACAACTCCTCTAAAAAGACAAACAACAGTGAATCTTTATTCCACTGCAATTTAAATTATCATTTTTTTAAATAATATTTATAAATGTCTTACAGCCTATTTTATTGCTCTTCAGCAATCATTTGCATAATATCAACATTTAATTAAGATTCATATATGATACAAAAGTTCCAGATGCTCTTAACTTTGATTAAAATCCATCCAACATGGTCCAATTTCAGTAACATCTACATGATTGCAGAACTGTTTACATGTAGTCCCCCCCCACTTCTTTTTTTCTCAACTTCTTCCATGTACTAACAAATATACCATTTTGTAAATCTTTATTTTTACACAATAGTATTGAATTAATGATAAGTAAATTACACAGTATCTGAAATGCTTATCTGTAGTTTTAAAAGCGATGAAAGTGAAAAAAGTACTTTACCTTAATGTAGGTTATGGTCCTCTATTTAACAAAAAAGAAACGGGACAAGAAACTTAATGATCCTTCATAACCTAAATCTCACATATGACTAAAAATGTGTCATGTTACAATCCTAAATAAATAAAATTTACCCCCAAAAACTTGTAGATTAATATTTTGATAAAATTGAACAATGACTAATAAGCAAAAAGTACCAACAGCACTGAGCTGGTCGCTACATAGTAGGAAAACCAGATGCCAGATTACTGCTAGGCCCTAAAGGTACCTTCGGGACCTACACAGGTGATTATCAGCTGATTAAGATCAAAACATGAGGACCAAATGTCATCTGGAGGGAATTCAAAACTGGTATTGGGGATTTGTAAAGAAGTTTATGAAATAAAATAATGTTTTGACACTTTGTGTGTGAAAAACAGAACCTGTTTTTGAATTTGTCTGATACAAAGCAGGATTATCAAATTACATTGGTGTCAAGGGTTGTAACTGACAACTTAACAAGCTTATTTTAAGTCCTTTTCTGTAATCTTAAATCATTGATCATTATTTTAAATTGCAGAAATTTCATAAAAAATTAAGATGCGATATGAAACTTCTTTTCAAAAATCCAACACAATTTTGTTTAGTACAAGTCAATTATTCATCATGCTTATATTATGAACTATTGCGTTGGGAAACAGCAATAACAAGAAGATAGGAATAAGTGTCAATGAAAAAAGCAAGCCAACCCTGCAAAAAACCAAAACAATACAAAAAAATAAGAACTTAATATTTTGTTGAAATTTTAAGAAGGTACCCTTTTAACACCCCAGAAATAAGAAAAAAATTAGTCTCATCATAACTTTTAACACTAAAATTCTCTTTAGTCATAACAAACACTTATTTAACAACAGGTAAACATTTCATGGATCATTTCAGAATGTATCTCGAACAATGGAGGATATCATTCTTTCCGATCAGGACCACGGAGGATTGTCTTTCTCTGGGGGCAGACATTATATAGCATGTGTTCACACGATTTAGATTCAATATCCAAGATACAATCTTGTTACAAAAGACATAAGTTACTAAGTTTATATTTTGGCAGGTTTATAACAATTATAACATGGAAGTATTTATATCATTCTTTCCATTCAGATTTAACATGCAAATTATATCACTAAATAAAAAATAAAACAAAAATTTGAGGATCAAGATTTCACTTTTAGAAGCATACAGAAAAATATATGTTTTAATGTAAAGTGTTTAAATTGGATGTTTTTGTATTGTATTTGACATGTTCACCTGTTATTCCCAAAACATCTGGAAGGTTAAAAAAAACCAACATCCAGGAGTTGTCAGTTTTTCTCACATACTTTGAAAAAGTGCCAAAAAAGCCTCAATTCAAATCAGTTTTACTATCTGTGCAAACTCAGGCCAGCCTTAAATCAACTACTGACTAACCTAACTAAATATGACAGCTTTTGATTTACATTTTTCACATTAAGTTAAGTTTTTTACACTATAGTTTCGACCATGAAATAATTTGATGATCATGCCTTTGTCAAGGTGAAATAAATCTGATGCACTAACTATGAGGTTGCATTTTTATCAAACTGTCAGGTATATTTCATTTTGTTTTTAATGAACTTATGCCATAATATGATACATGTACAACAATTAGCTTTTTGTTAAAACCTTTACATCACTAAATGAATCTTTTCAAAAGAAGGCATTTCAATTTTACAACTGGGACTATTATGTAAGATAATAGTCCTACTTTACAAGATGATATATCTGTTTCAGAATAACAGAAGTCATTATATTTGTAAATAAAGAGAGAATGTTTTAATCCAAAGGATTAATTTAATCTGCCAAAACTTGATACACTATTAGAAATTTCATACAAAATATGATAAAATTTTATTTAAAGTAGTTTTTAAACAAAAATCCCATTAAAGAAACTTGTCAGATATTAGCTGATGATGAATTCAACTTATTTGACATATGCCCAAATTAGCCTACTTTATTTGTTCTTTTAAACATAAACATTTGAACCATGATTATATAATTTATATACCTACATTTAGGAAATGATCTCCGATGTTGAACCAAACTCAGGTTAACCCTTCTAGCTTTCTGAACACAGCCTTAGTTTTACCACAATTTCTTAAATGAATTACTATGAAAACCTACATGCAGATTTTATTCTGTTTGTTTTAAAAAAATGGATATAGATAATACATATATTTATAATCTGCCAATATTTTCTTATCCTCTTCTTTGAAGGGCTTCCTAAGTCATTTTCAGCCATAACAATTAGCTGTTTATCTGTTAATTACAGGTAGGAAACATGAAAGGAATATAAATACAACAAAGTGTTGAAGGTAATGGGATCTGTTTGTTTAACTTTTGTTGGATTAAACACAGCTTTTTGATGTTATTGAATGCCTTGTATGTTTATATAAATAAATTAAGTATTAACTTTTAATT